TGAGGAAGCCAGAACGCTATCGTTTTATTTTCATACAGATCTTTCCAAACTATTCTATTCACCTCAAATAAGACTTTTTATAACGTCGTTCATAAATTATGACATATTCTACCCAACTAACATTGGCCATCAAGCTATGGAACATTTTTATGCTTTTTATCAAAAAAATGTAATGTTGTATCCGTTGACGATCATAACTACTAACACCAACGTTATAACTTTAATGATCTCCATATATCCAACACCAGGGTTGTAGCTTCCAACGATCATCAAGTATTCGTTACTCTGTAGGTTCAAAATTTCTGATAGAAGAATACAACTGTTTCAAACACAAACGCGTTTATTTGAATACCAACATTAATAGAAACATCGAACTAATCCAAGTAACTACTTAAATCGCTTACGACTTCGCTTTTTCTACTGGAAACCTGATTTGAATTCTGACTGTCTTCTGTATCTACGCATGGCCTATAATAGGCTAATTTTTACAATCACAAATATTTTTTTACTATCCTCTATCTAAAGATTATAAATACGGCAAAGACCAATAATTACGATAACAAATAATATAGCGCAATTTGATCATTACCCCCACTTTAGCCTGTTAGTCCCCAACATAGGCGGTAATCAGTAGCTATTTTGTTAATTTACATGAAATTTTTAAATATTATACATATTACTAAATAATGTAATAAAGTTTAAAATAAAAATATAAAATATAGTATCACCAAATAATTGATTATAAAAATTCTAAATTTTTACTTTCATATAAAATTAGTTTTAATACGTACATAATTGAATATAAAAATTCTAAATTTTTACTTTTATCTAAAATTTAAGTTTTAATATGTACAGGTAATAGGTCGGCCTAGCAGAGAAGAGGTGAAGAAAAATGAAAAAGATGAAGAATTGCGAATGACAAAAAGGTTGGAATTAATTGGAACAGATAGTTTGAAAAAATTACAAATGGAACTAGATGCATCAGTTTCAGAAAATAACGTAAGAACAATAAAAATGTTATAGTTATTAAAATTTAATTATTACATTTTTTCTCACTAATAAAAATGTTTTTTTTTTTAGAAACCTATCCCCGAATATATACTTTCCAATGTAAAAATTCCAAGTGTGACGTCTTTAAGATATCATTCAGTCATCACATACCATAATAAACAAGATTACGACGTACTGGGAGCTAATTTAAGCAATAACGACATCAACAAAATACCATGCATTTTTCAAATGGATGACGTAACTACTGCTTTTGTCACTGTTAGTAATTACCTGTCTATACCTGTCTATCACATTTTTAGTGATACTTGGTTTGAAAGTTGCTGATAAATTGTTACTTGGTTAATGTTTTTTAGATATCGTTTGTTGCAAAATATTTTTTTTAATTTTATAGCCTTTGTATGCATAGGAATGAGCTAATTTTATCAAAGAAGAAGTTACAGTAAATATATCATATTCACAAGAATATTTCATAAAAATATTTTCTTTTACTTAGAAGTTTTAACAAAGGCAGTTTTCGCAACATAATTTAGAAATTTTAATTGAACAAAACAATAATTTTTATCTAATGTTTTTTTTTTATCAACTTTTAAAAATTCATTTTTTGTTAATTTTTTAGCGTTTTAACGTTTTAATAAGATGAAATTTTCGGTTTACGCTGAACCTATAAATAAGGAATAAGCATAATAAAAAACATTTCGATAATCAATCGGTGGCTGTTACGATTTAGTGAAAATCGTGTAAAAAATGAAAGTAAAAAAACATTAAAATAAGTTTTATTTTGTTTGTTTAAAGCTTAAATCTCATAGAGTTCTATTATTGTATTTTAATATTAAAGGCAAGTTAATGAGATAATTTGAAGCCAGCAACAAAAATTAATAAAAACTAGCGTGTCATTCGTAATTTTCTATTGGTAATTCTGTTTGGATATTCTCGCCAATTGTAGGTTTTCATCTATATTTTATCTATCTTTTTGGTAGTTTTTTCCTCTTCTATTTTCAAAAAACGTTCAAATAGACCAAAATTGATCCTCTTAGTGCATAAGATTTTTTTTGCCAGTGTTTGCCACTTTGGTTCAAAATTGACGGTGCCTCAAGACAGATGATGAAGTGTTTCAATAAAAATAACTAAGCGTTTTGATCCTCAGGGTAGCTTAGATTTTAGTCCTGTTTAGTTTTTTGTGCCCTTTTTATTCTGGGATAATTTGAATGCAGTCAAAACTTGGTGACTGATTTTTAGAAAAAAGTTTGCCTTATGTAATAACCCTAACCCCGAAAATATTATATATTTAGTAATGCTAATTAATGTTAAGCTAAACTCGTACACTTGGCATGTTTATTTGCATATCACATCAAACTCGTACACCCTGAAATTGTGCCGGTGAAACTTGGTTGGCGTCATGTTTTTTTTAATATTTTATAGTTTTTGTAAAACATTGGCTGTTTTAGTTTTTACAACACTGGTTGTATAAAACTGGTCACATTAGAAGGAATCTGCTAAAAGTTTAATGTTTTCAATCATGTCTATTTTTAATTTAGAACTATTTTTAATTCTAGAAATTTAAATAATTTCATAGATAGATATATTTTTTAATGGATGTTGGCTTAACGGATCATTGGTTCCCTATCTACCACTCTTTATTGAAACTTTTTTCGAATCACCAATAATTAGAAACAGTGGTTTGTTGTTTTTTTCAATTGTTTGTTTAACAAATAATTTAATTTCCTATCATTTTTTTGACGGTTGATTCCCTATTAGTTCGCGTGTTTTGATCAGTTTTGGAGTCGGAATTTTTTAAAGAGTCGGAGTTGACTACAGAAAGTGTGAAGAATTTGAAATTTTTTATTGTTCTAAAAAACTTTCTTGAGATCGTGTTTTTTAGAAGGTATCTTATAATTCGTTTAATCCAATTCATTGATATGATATTAATTCATGCGATCGTCTTTAATACTAAAATAAAGTCAATAAATAAAATGAATAAAATCACATAAGTTTTTTTCAGTATATTTAATATATAAATATTTTATTGAGAAAAATTATTACATTGACTGATTTAAAGGAAAATTATGATGTAAATGTTGAAAACTGGAATCGGAGTGAAAACTTTTTAACAGTAGTTGAAAAATTTTTATCTGACTTTCTGACTTTGACATCTTGGTTTTGGCAATTGGGATATTTTTTTGCTTTTTATTTTTTAACTTAGTCAAATGTTAGTTATAATTTTTTTAAGAACATTGACAGCTTGTATTATTCATTTATGTTGATCTTTTTTTTCTTTTTTGTTTTTTTCATTTACTTTCAAATTTTACGCTTCTTTTACTTGAACGACATTTACCCTTGTGCTTTAAATTTTATATTAATTCTTCGTCGGTTATTTTATCAATGAATTGGATTAAATGATATAAAATAAATGGTTAAAGAAAGAAATGAACAAAATATAAAGATTGTACGAATTTGATGAACAACAATGGAAAGATGAGAAATCGGTGTACAGAATTAAGGAAAAGGATGATAAAGTGGATGAAATGAATGAACTAACCGTATTTGAGGGTTTTTTGGAGTAAAACAGCCTAGTATATCGTATTATGCAACCCAGCAGCTAAAAATGTAATTACTGGCAATCCACTCAAATATTGGATTTTGTTTTTAACAGCACAAATCTTGGTTAGACAACTTCTAGCTTCCCATATTACGTTTTGAAATGGACTGGAACAGGACTGTTGTTTAGTCAATGTCAATGATTTTGGCATTTTTCATTTTTTCAACATACGATATATAGTTAGGAAAGTCTTTACTATCAGATAAATTTTAACATTAGTAGGTTTTTTCTTTTGTGATTAGTGGTGAATTTGTTTGCTTGCATTTATTGTTCAATGCTTCAGTGGTTTTTTGTATTATTGTAGTCCATGACTCAAAGCCATATGATACGTCAGCATAAACTTGTTAGTGTGCTGGATTTTTTGTTAGGTTCTTCAATTTATAAATGAGCTTAAAGAAGTGAAGAAATCGAACTGCTCTAATTTCCATTTTCTATGATCTATGGCGATAGTGATGTTCAATGACGCTTCATCTGTGGACGCTTCACCAATTACATTTATGAACATGTTAGATGTTGCAACTGCTTTTAGCTTTTGATATAACAGGTGATAGAACCCTGCATTGAAATCTTATAATGCTCTCTTATTTGTTCTCTTAGTTTAGTAGTTTAGTATTTTGCAGCATGAATTCGGAAAATAAGTTTATTTTGAATTTTAATAAACTAAACGTTCACCAAAAAACTTTAGTAGGAAAAATTGAAAAAACGGACTACAAACATATTAACGCCAAACATTCGGTAGAATTTATGGAATATTGTAAAAATTATGGTCTATTACCAACATTTAGTCATAAAATCATAGAAGTATTGTTATAAATCTATTACTGGTATATTATAAAAGTATTGTTATAAACCCATTACTGGTATATTTTTCTACTTTTTTCCTTATATTCTTTTTTCTACTTTATAATTTTTGATTTATTTCCAAAAGATTATCTTTTCTAGCGCAAAATGGAATTCGGTTAGGGTTAGGATGACCCGTTAGAGTTAGAATGACTCATGATATGGTTTTACATACGAGCGGAACAAGCTTTATAGTTTTGACGTTGTCGCACTGAAGCGAATTGTTTTTTTTTGCTTCGCTGGATTATTTCTGATTTTTGTAAAAATAGTATGAAGCAACAATATTATTTCAAAATTTGAGTAATCACATCACCTCATCCAAGCATCATATCTTGCTTTTTTGGCACTACTTTTTTTAGCAAGCGTATTAATGTATGTCGTTGTCTTTATCATCTAAGCTTGCTTGTAGAAATGTTATATCGATTGAGCTACACAATCTTGTTGATATAACAAATAAGAAGCCGTTGTACCATATTTCAATATTATTTTGTTGCTGTTAGAAACTTATGGTGGAAGGTTGTCTGTTTTATCGCTAGCTTGCATTCTAGGCAAAATGGAATTCGTTCAAGGTTAGGATGACCAGTAATATGTTTTTACATGCGAGCGGAACAAGCACTATAACTCTTACGTTGTCGCGCTGAAGGAAATTGTTTTTTTCTTAACTGGATTATTCCTGATTTTTATAAATATAGTATGAAGCAACAGAATAATTTAAAATTTTCATCCAAGCATCATATATTGTTCTCTTGGAACTACTTTTGCATACCTCATTTTTTCAGCAAGGCATATATCCTTGTCTTTATCATCTAAGGTTGCTTGTATGAAAAATATATCGATTGAGATATTTAGCAGTCTACCTAAGCTTGCTTACCTTGCCACCCAATTTGGTTACTTTCCTACACTAATGCCAATTCTCTTCCATTTAAGGTGTTTGTAGATCGATTTTAGTGGGAGAAGAATAAAATGAAAAATAAAAGTATATACATGTAATTAGGAAAAAATATGAATAAATGTAACGAGCATGAAATATTTCGTTGTATGGAAGGAAAACAGAGTGTAGTTTTTTACTTGTTGTGATTGTGAAAGTGGGAGATTTATAATTTATAAAAATCTACTTTAGATGTAGGAAAATATACGGCTAGAGGTCATGGTTTAGATAGCCTCTTTAATTGGCGCTTGATTAATCACATTTAAGGTTTAGTACAGACGCATAAAAAAGTTCAACATGCAGTTTGACAAAGTTCACAAATTTTTTACTGAAAACAAATTAACTAAACAAAATTTGCTTAAGAAATAAGGTGCACATGTTAAATTTTTGTATGTGTATATTACTTAGTTATAATATACTTTTAATTATAACAAAATCAAATTAATTACTAACTTTAACATTTATTTTATTTCATATTAAAATTGGTTAGTGGAAGTTCCATATGAAACTGTTGTCAAAAAATTAAATGAAGATTTAATTGAACATTCTTCATCCCTTGGTTTGCACGGTGACCGATTCGAATGTGGAGAATTTTCTTCAATTGTTAACATCTCCGTCAAGGTTTGTTTTATAATAAAAAAAAGTCACTGTTTTTTCATTATATTGTTGTAACCGTCACAAATATATTCGCTAGAAGCGATAGTATCAGTTCAAGTAGGTACTAGAACCCTCTGACTGCGAGATATCTACGACGTTGAAAAAGCGTCGTTAAAACAGGTATATAAAGGCATACGAGGAACTGAATAGTTGTTTTTGAAAACGATTGATTATTAGTATCGAAAGCGATATTTAATATTTGACTTATGTTTTTATTGTATCTGCGATAAACGTTAGTGAATTCGAGTTTGATGATCAGGATGTCGAATCAAATGCAGTTGTAAACGCTGGGGCAAGGTAAACGCTGAGGCAATTGATAGCTCTACTTCAATATCAACAAAAATTGAACAGACGAGAGATCAAATTGATACCAAATTAGAACAGTCGGCCGCGATTGATGCCAAAAGAACTCAAACAATAATAAATAATAATTTGACATCAAAACTGAACAAAAATCGACAGTAATCAATGCAAAAATAGAAAATCAGATGATGAAAATAGAAGACATCACGTTAAAAATTAAACAGAAAGTTGATCAAAAGGTTATTGAGCTCGAAAAAAAATTATTTTGCAAAATAGATAAACATAAACAAGACCACAACACACGTTTAGACGACATTTTCCCCGAGATCGGGGGTTGCCGTTTGGCTACCTATGATGAAACCGAAATACCCCTCGACGCCATTCTGTCGGATACTGAGGGCCGTTGTCACTTCTGTCATCATAAGTAATTTATTTGGCTAATTTTTACGCAGGACGCCCTTCCTTACGCAACCACAGTTATAAGCGGTGGGCCTAGCCTTTGATGATCCAACATCACTCACAAGGCAGTGAGGGTCAGTTTAATGTCATAACCAGGACATTAAACAAGAACTAGATGAAATAAATTCCACACCTACCTGCAAGCCACGTGATCGCGAAGACATTCAATACATTTATAAAGCCCAGTTTGAAGAAGCAGCAATGAGTTATGACTGGAATGAAAAAAATCGGACAACGGCTGTTGTGATATCGTTACAAGGATCAGCGGCAGAAATTGCGTTGAATTTACGTTACGGTGAAGAGCATATGAAGCAAATATTCCCAGTTGCGAAATCGGATGCTGCGATCTCGAAAGTCGATACATCAAAAGATGCTTCTAGAACAAGGATTATGGTGTGCCAAAATTCTGGAATTGTGAAGAAAGAGGATATCTACGACGAGATTGTAAACAACGCCCTAGAGGCATTTATTGTCGTCCTTGTTCAGCAACATGGCACAAACGGTTGGATGGTGTCCTTCAAATAAGGAGGCTGAAAACTAGTAAAAGCCAATTTCGCGGAAGCAGAAGTTGGCTTGTAAAAATTGACGCCCCCAGTGCCGTGATTAAGGTTTTTAGTCTGCATTGAAGTCAATACGACTTTTGGTTAAATGGCAAAATTATGATTGACACCGGAGCAAGGTCAATTTTAAGGTCTGATCTGGTGCCCAACCTAAAAAGGGAAAATTTTCATAAATACATTCTTCGAACAGCTACAGGAGGAACTGCGCTCGTCTATGGAGAAATTTCTTATACTGGTAAACTAGGCGATTTGGCATTCGAGAGTACATTCCTAATAGCAGATATCACTGACGAATGCATAATAGACGTTGATTTTCTGACAAAACATAGTTTTAAAATTGATTTAGAGAGACGCTTCTTTAGATGGAAAAATACGAAGATAGTAATGGGGACCAGCAATGTGAAATGTATTCGTATTGGGTTCGCCACTGATACTGAAGTACCTAAATCATCAGAGAACATCATATGGGCAAAAATAATTGGCGATACTGGGGACCACCAACTCTACCTGGTTGAGCCAATGACAACAATGGAACTTAACAACATTATTAATGGAAAAAGTCTCGTAAAAGCAAATGAAAATGACTTTGTTCCGATTTGGGTGTTAAATGTTGCACAGCATTCCATTACAATTAAAAAGGACCGAGAAATAGTTTTTTGTCAATCTGTAAATATCGTGAAGTCTTTGGATATTCAACATCAGAATAGTGGTTGGCTAGTCGATAAGGACAATCTTGAAAAGCTTACGGAAAAGTTAGGTGAACTCAATTTGGAAAATAGTTCAAAAGGCGAAAATTTGATAGCGGATTTTGCAACCGGAGACAATAATCAAGGAAAAACGGGCCTCAGATCTTAAACAAACCCTCGGACAAACGCAATCTCAAAAAAGCCGTTGTCTTGAGTCTTACATTCCAGTCAGCAAGGCAATCATCAATAACTGACATAAAGCTGCGCCAGATTTGTGAAAAATTTTCGGGTCAAAAAATGGTTCTAGAGCATAAAGATCAGGATTATAGTGCGCCAAAATGCTGGAATAGAAGAGAAAAAAAATCTACGAAATTTTAAACACCCTAGAAACAATTACTGTCGTCATTGTACAGCACAGCACAAACGGTTAGGTGTTGACCCCGCTTTACGGCTGACAGCCTGAAACAAGGAGGCGGAAAACTAATAGAAGCCATGTTCGTGGGGCAGAAGTTGGTTGGCAGAATTGACATCTCCAACATCGTAATTAAAGTCTCTAGGCTGCATGCTTTAGTTTGATGTCAAAGTTGGTTCAAAGGAAGTAAAAGCAAATGAAAACGGTTTTGTTCCAGTTCAGGTGGCAGAGCATTTCATTACAATTAAAAAGACTAAGGCTTTTGTCAATCTGTAAATCTGGTGAAGTCTTTGGATATTCGCCATCAGAATAGTGCTCGGATAAGGAAAATAGTAATCAATAATTGATTTTGAAAAGCTTGATAATCATTAGGTGAATTCAATTTGACAGATGACACAGGGAGATTGTTCAAAAGCAGATGTATTCTCAACTGGAGATGATAATCAAGATAAAATGGGCACGGTATTTATCGAATTAATATTTAGGACTCAAAGCCAATCAGACAAGTACCACACAGTCTTCCACTAACAAAACAAGATGATAACTACAATGCTATATCAAGGTGTCATCGAACCGTCAACTAGTCCTTGGACATCACCAGTTGTCCTAGTAAAGAAAAAAAGACGGCAGCACCCTCTTTTGTGTAGACTACTGAAAGCTAAACAAAGTGACAATAAAAGATGGTTATCCACTGCCGAAAATAGATGGCATCATTTCGTTTACTTCCTACTTAATATCTTCCCACAGGCGATATAATTTTTTTAGGAAAGTCGTTCAACCAGCATTTACGAGATATATTTTTGAAACTTTGAGCAGCGAACATAAAGCTTAAACTTTGTTTGCGAAAAAAGTGAATGAAGTGAAGTAAAAATGGTAATATCTTGGCCAACATCGAAAGATAGAAATGATTTGTGCACTTTCCTCACATTTTACTGACGGTTCGTAAAGGATTTTGCGTAACCAGAGAGGTTCTATTTAAACTAAGCTACATAATAAGTGAAAGGAACTGCTAGCGATCATGGCAACAAAACATTTCCACAAGTATATCTAAGGAAAAAAGTTTCTTCTTTGAACTGATCATGCAGCGTTAATGTGGTTGCTTAATTTCAAGTATCCAGAAAAACAAGTGGCACATGGTTTGGACGATTACATATGTAGGGTTAGGTTTTGAAAGTACGCATTGTAAAAGAACCTCTAACAACAATGTTTCTTCCTCGTCTCAACCCCCGTCTCAAATTTATTCACTAAAGGCGCTTGTGTCACTACGAACGCGAGGAGGAGTAGAACTTTCTGACAATGAGATATCTAGGATGTTCGAGAAGCGTCGGTAAAACAGGGTTATTGAATGGTTGTTGTTGAATATTTGATATTGAAAAGCAATTGATTAATATTAGCGTCGATAGCGATATTTGATATTTGACTCTGCGTTGTATTTCTATTGTATTTTTTTGTTATTTGTTGCTGTTGTAAACGTTGTTATTCGGAAAGCGATAGTTTCTGAACGTTAATTTGATAGTTTGGAGACTAACTTTTATTAGTAAAATTAATTAACGTTGATTATTGATTGATTAATTAATTTTTGTTTTTGTAAATAGATAAATCGATAATTTGGAAGTTATTTATTTTTCACAGAAATTAAACGAACCGGCCAATTTTAACAATATTTTTTATTAATTGTTTAAAGGTTGAAACCTCGAAATTTGAAAAAGGGGTAAGGTGGCTGGGAGAAATTATAACTGGTTTGGTATTAAATGAAGCACGTATCACAAGCATTTCTAAAAAAATGAAAAGTGACATTGCTCTAAAGAAAAGGGATGCCGATGTTGTAATTCAAAGTTTGAATACTACCACAACGTTCATTAAACGTTAGACGTTTGGTGTTTTCCGTTGTTTTTTTTATAACTAAATACAACGTTTTAAATTGATTCTTAAAATCCGTTCAATTTTCAAGCTGATAGTCAAATTTTTTTTATTGTTTTTGTATGGGTTTTTAAGTCATGTGAAAAAAAATTAACCGATAAACCTTACGTTTAACTTAACTTATACACTCATAATTAAATCGGTAATGACGGATACAAAAATTGCAAAGTTATGAAAATTTGAAATGAACATGTAATTAATTTATTGAAGTTTTCAGAATTTGTCAAAAAATTTAATGATCATTTAAAATGTGCTGAAAATTCTCAATAATATCGAATTCTTGCTATACCGATTTGTATATATGTCAACTTACCTTCAAAATAATTTTGAGTTTATGAATAATTTCCTAATAATTTTTAATTGTAATTTTTCAAAACTAATTATTATTTATTTCTAAACAATGGAATATTCAAAAAATTGTATAGTATTATGAACATTTTGAAGAAAAAGAAGAAAGCGTGTAGTTAGTTTATTATTTTATGTTTGTGAATATCATAGCCTTACAATCAATCAATCAATCAATCTTCGTTTAGCGTCCAGAGATCCGGTTCTCCGAGGTAGGAGGTTGTTTTCTTCGCCATCAATTTTTTACGCCAAATCAGTTGTATCCATTTCAATGGTCTCTTATTTGTTCTCTTAGTTTGGTAGATAAATCATAAAAGTATTGTTATAAATCCATTACTGATATATTATAAAAGCATTGTTATAAATTCATTACTAGTATATTTTTTTAGTTTTTTCCATATATTCTATTTTCTACTTTATAATTTTTGATTTATTTCCAAAAGTTTATCTTTTCTAGCGCTATTTGGAATTCGCAAAATGGAATTCGGTAAGGGTTAGGATGACCCGTTAGAGTTAGATTGACCCATGATATGGTTTTATATGCAAGCGGAGCAAGCTTTATAGTTTTGACGTTGTCGCACTGAAGCGAATTGTTTTTTTTCTTCAATGGATTATTTCTGATTTTTGTAAAAATAGTATGAAGCAACAATATTATTTCAAAATTTGAGTAATCACATCACCTCATCCAAGCATCATATCTTGCTTTTTTGGCACTACTTTTTTTAGCAAGCGTATTAATGTATGTCGTTGTCTTTATCATCTAAGCTTGCTTGTAGAAATGTTATATCGATTGAGCTACACAATCTTGTTGATTTAACAAATAGTAGCCGTTGTACCATATTTCTATATTATTTTGTTGCTGTTAGAAACTTATGGTGGAAGGTTGTCTGTTTTAGCGCTAGTCTGTTTGGATTTCGGTTAAGGTTAGGATGACCAGTAATATGATTTTACATGCGAGCGGAACAAGCACTATAGCTCTTACGTTGTCGCACTGAAGCAAATTGTTTTTTTCTTCACTGGATTATTCCTGATTTTTATAAATATAGTATGAAGCAACCGAATTATTTCAAAATTTTTATCCAAGCATCATATTGTTCTCTTGGAACTACTTTTGCATACCGCATTTTTTCAGCAAGGCATATATCCTTGTCTTTATCATCTAATGTTGCTTGTATGAAAAATATATCGATTGAGCTTCAAAATCTTGTTGACAACCAATAAGAAGCCGTTGTTCCATGTTTCAAAATTATTCTGTTGCTGTTAGAAACTTCAAGGTGAAATATCTTAGTCAAGCTGAAAAATAAATGAGTTACATCACTGTTGCCTGTTTATTTTGCAGTCTACCTAAGCTTGCTTACCTTGCCACCCAATTTGGTTACTTTTTCACACTAATGCCAATTCTCTTCCATTTAAGGTGTTTGTAGATCGATTTTAGTGGGAGAAGAATAAAATGAAAAATAAACTATATACATGTAATTAGGAAAAAATATTAATAAATGTAACGAGCATGATATATTTTGTTGTATGGAAGGGAAACAGAGTGTAGTTTTTTACTTGTAGTGATTGTGAAAGTTGGAGATTCGTTATTTATAAAATTCTACTTTAGATGTAGGAAAATATACGGCTAGAGGTCATGGTTTAGATAGCCTTTTTAATTGGCGCTTGATTAATCACATTTAAGGTTTAGTACAGACGCATAAAAAAGTTCAACATGCAGTTTGACCAAGTTTAAGTAAGCAAAAAAGTTCACAAATTTTTTACTGAAAACAAATTAACTAAACAAAATTTACTTAAGAAATAAGGTGCACATGGTAAATTTTTGTATGTGTATATTACTTGGTAATAATATACTTTTAATTATAACAAAATCAAATTAATTACTAACTTTAACATTTTTTTTATTTCATATTAAAATTGGTTAGGGGAAGTTCCATGAACCGTTTAGTTAGTTTAGTATTTTATGTTCGTTAATATCATAGCTTTACAATCAATCAATCATTCAATCAATCTTCGTTTAGTGTCCTAAGACCCGGTTCCTTGAGGTAGGACGTTGTTTCCTTCGCCATCAATTTTTTACGCCAAATTAGACTATCATTTGTATCCATTTCTTTTAAATATAGAGCTTTCATGTCTTGCTCGATTGTTTGCGACCAGGATTTCTTTGGGCGGCCTTTGGTACGTGTGCCAGGTACTTCAACATCTGCAAGATAAGTTATGACACTGTTTTCACTTTGTTTGACATGACCTAACCACCACAGACGGTGTTGCCGGCATTCGTCCTTTATATCATCTAAACCAACACGTCGCAGGATTTCGGTAAATTTGATGTGGTCCTTCAGACTAGTTCGTTGCATCCATCGGAGCATTTTCATATTGGTTCGTTGAAGTTGTTGTTCCATTTTTGTTATCATTGACATGTTTCTGCACCATATAACAACACCGGACGTATCAGAGATTTTTAAAGTCTTGATCGTAGTGGTAGTGGGATGTCACGCCGCATCAATATAGAGGCATGGAGATGCCATTTATTTCAGGCTGCACGTATGCGTGCTCGAACGGCAGCTTCAGCTGTTCCAGTACAATCCAGAACATCCCCTAGATATTTAAACGATGTGACATTCTCTATTTTAATGGCTTCAAAAACATTGCTATTTCGTATTTGATGTTGTGGAAGCAGGACAAACAAAATTAGACACTTTAG